CTTTGACTATTATTGCTGAAGCTCAACGCATCAGCCAGACCCAACACGGGAACACGCAACGAACCATCGACCCACATCTGAAACACCAAGACTACCCACCCACCCACCCACGAACCGACATGGATGGCCCCGCAACAACTTGACACAGGCAGCTGCAGCGGTGGCAAGCGAGGTCGAGTAGGGTCACAACCGGACCTCCTGTGCAGGCCTCGCCGGGGCGGGATTGACGGGCAACCCGAACTCGTCGACCCCCGTGGGCCCGGTCGACTCCGGCACGAGCGACGGCTCCTGGGGAAGGCTCGCCGGCTGCGCAACGTAGGAAGGGCCCGTGTCCTCCTCGAGGCCTTCCAAGGCCTGTGTTCCGTAGTTGTTGGTTGCGGTTGTTCGTTATACAATAATGACGGGAGGGCGTGTCAGGAGTGGAAGTCGGATTCGTGGAAATGGCGGGGGAGGCAAGACAGTTTTTGGAATGATACTACAGTCAGTACTCACGCATGCGAGAGAGCGACAAATTGCACAGCGGTGGGAGGGTAAGCCGTGCTGCAGGACATCAACTCTGCTGGTTGTCTAACGGTGTGCATATTGTTGGGGGCTCATTACCGCTTCATATTGCACAGTCGAATCCGAGGAAATTGTTTCACTGGACAAAAAGGGGACGCGCCAAAGTTTCAATCACTCAAAAGACGTTGCTAACGTCATACAACTGCAGGAGTGACTACTCCGCATCGCCGTACATGCCGCAATTCCACCTTTGCGGTAACGGTCCCTTGCCTGTGTGTGCATTATGCCACCAACCCCAAGGTACTGCATGTTGGGAAAGAACGCCGAGATGCTGCCTTAGGGGGTAGAACACCCCCCGGGATACCGTCCCATATTTGCGATGCGCTTCTGTGGCCCACAATACAACGCCGACACCAGCCCTCATGTAATGTCAGAAAAAAAACAGAATGACAGAGGCAGCGGGTATATCGCCATACTCACATCAAGCTCGTCATCCAGGCACGCCAACTCCGCGTCGAGGTCATCCTCGTCTAGCTCATCTCCGACGCTGTTGCCACGGGCCGAAAGGGGAGAGGGCACGGCGCGTGAAGTTTGTTTGGGAGAGGTTTGTCAGCAGCAGGACGACCAAGAGACCAAAACATACAGTACGAAAACAAGGATGTATCGCTTTGCGGGAGAACCGAGCGTGTTCTCATCTGGCCAGTTCTCATTTGGTAAAAAAAAAAACTGGTGCAATCCACGCCAGTTCAAGGACCACAAGGGCGCGCCTTGAGGTGTCAAAGACAAACGTAGTGGTGAGTGAGAGGCAGTAGATGGCGCACCATCGAACAAATCACCCTGCATCCAACTTAGCGGCGGCCGGTGAACCGCGTTGAATGGTGTTGTTAGGCTCGTTCACGCCACCCTCACCCGTGCCTGATGCGTCATTGTCACCAACGTGTTGTGCGTCACATGAAGCCGTAGGAAGCACAGCAGCTTCACACAGGCTGCGCTAACAATGGTTGCACCATCCGAGCGTTTCGAACTCACTTGTAGGAGCGGCCCATGATGTCGTTGATTTCGTTCATGTCCTCCATCATGTCGGCCATGTCGTCCGTCATGTCCTCCACCTTGTTGATGTCGATCTTCTTGATGTCTGCCTTGAGCGTTTTGCTCGCGTCCTTCATCGCCGCCACCTGGCGCATTCACACAGCAGCGTAGCGTACAATGAAACACACACTACCACCAAGTGCCCCCTGGCTTAAAAAACACTAGAGCCTTTGATTGCTAATGTACCAAGTGTGGGCTTCCCAGAAAAGTGCTGTTGGGTGCAGAAACCGCCAGAGGGAGTTTCCTAGTGCCGTTATTGGGTGTTGGGGTGGGACAGAACATCTGGCAGTGACAACGGCACGGCGCCAAAAAACACTCTCCGATTGAACCATTTGTCAGGATACAGCAGACGACCAAATCCATAAAATGGTCTACTCTTTGCCTCTTCCCCTGCCTCTCTCGTGTTGTCTCTGTCTCTGTGTCTGTCTCGGTGCCTGTGTCTGTCTGTCTGTTTCTCTCTCTCTCTCTCTCTCTCCCTCCCTCCCTTCTTTTTTTCTCTCTCTCCCATTTCTCCTCGCTCTGTGTGTGTGTGTCCCAAGTAAAGCACACTACCGAAGGTATAGAGACGTCGGCATTTTCTTTCCGGTCCATCTCACTAGACCCCTCACACCCACGCTCTGCACCAAAGACTAAAAGACAAACCAAGAACAAGAAAAAATAACTTGCCGTTGTAGCTGTGTCCTTGATGGAGTCGATCGCGAAGCCTGTCTGCTCAATGTTGAACTGCTGCCCGGCCATCTGGTCCCTCTGCCCCTCGTACATCTTCTTTCGCTTCAGGGTCTCCATCGCGCGCTTCTTGATGTTCGTTGCCGTGGGACCCTTGGCCTTCTTGAGCGCGTTACGGTACTTGACGAGCTCCTGGTCCAGTCCCTTGATCTGGCGAATATACGCGATAGGCCGACAGATCGTGTACAGCAGCAGCAGCACTGCTGTTGAGAGACTTTATTCGTGGCGAGGTAATGTGTGTGGGAAACGTTTACATTCGAAGTTGGAGGCATCAACAGGAATACTGCCTTGCTATGTATGCATAGAGGCGGAGGAGGGAGCGGAGCGCCGCTCTCCTGTATCCCATTTGCTCCGAAGTTGAGCACCGTGGACACTCTGAAGGCCGCACCTCGGATATAGACATCCCTAGCCATCCTGCCGGGGACAGGGCTGATGGCGCTTTTTTGGTAAGTACCCGTACTACGCCGATCTATTCGCATCAAAAATCCCATGTGCGGACCCCCTAGTACAACTGGAAACTCTCTGCAAGGCGCCATGTGCTCTAAGCAGCGCGAGAGGAGAAGTGTTGAGTAGACTTGGTGTTTACTTGTAGCAGCTCGAGATCCTCTACACGACAAGGATTGGCCGGCCGCTTGCTTCTCAACAGAGGTCCCAAAGAGGGAGATGGTCTGTATCAACCACGCGGGATAGTAGGCAAACATGGCGGCCCAAGTAGAGATTAACCTTCAGATAAAAGATTCCAAGAGCACAAATCCAGGGCCAAAGACGCCGACAATCCCCGAAACCTAGTACTACGGCAAAGCTCGTATTTTTTCCCGTTGCGCCCATCCAACGAAGTTGCCTCTGGGAATTCCCCTGACTCCATTTCCAAGATTTTCTTACTAGTTGAATGGTATGGTGAGGTGTGAGGTACCTCTTGGACAAAGAATGCCTTTGCACTTCTGAGGTGCGGCCTCTCACTTGTCCAACTGACAAAACCCCCAAAGATTTCGTCATCCCGCACTGCGATTCCGGGCCCCCCAGTCACTCCATTCGTCGACGCTAGCACATTAAATAGGTATCTCTTGAGTACATACAAGTACACCGCTTGGGTTGTGATTCTTCGTGCTCGCCGGCACCGTCTCCGACCAAAGCCAACAGGTTTACATCAAGCGAACCCTTCGCTATAGACGAATGCTGTAGCTCGAAGTTCACACACGAACAGCGAGGGTGGGTGAGAAGCACTCGTGGTTCAGTGATTCCTATTCGGAGGTTAGAACTTTTGAGGCTGCAATGTCCCAAATTCACTTATTTCTTGTTTCCCTCTTGTTTCTCAGAGGGGGTCAGGCCCTCTGGACTGAGGGATGAGGAAGACTTAAGACTGAGTAGTGATCGCGGTGCAAATGCAGAACAGCCTGCGTACCCCCCAAGCAAATACATTCCCTGGGTATCATAACGTTGGAGAGCATCTGCACCGTATGCCACCACTTCCACCACAAGCAGACCCGCTCTGCTACTTCATACTTAGAAGTACCATTTACTGCTACATGAGCACACCCACTCATGGAGAGACGGGCTCGGAATATTCTATTGACGGGTGGCACGTGGTAGTATGTTTTAACTTGTCGTGTCGGTGTCGGGCAACCTCTTGGACCATGACTCCGAACTCAGCATTGCCTACCTACTTGCAGTTCCTACACCTACCATTCGTGCTGCGTAATACTATTGCACAGGGAGTCTTCGATACCTGCAACCGCTTAGCTACTGCTGTAGCTGATCCTAGCAGAGTTTGGTCCAAAGAGCTATGTTGTAGCAGGGTCAAGGTTGTAGATACCCTAGCCTACAGACCAAATGGTTACTACACTGCTGCCAAGTGTCGGACACACAATGTGCTTCCGCCTCTATTTGCGTGTGGCAGCTTCTCTAAGACACCAAGTGGGCATGCGCTTCATGCAGGAACACATAAATAAATAGTAGTACACACCACGGCCGACACGAACGTTGTGCATGCGAGAGAGACAAGGGGGCTCGTGGCGGCGGTCAACCAGAGGGGGAAAAGAGAAAAGACCAACGCGGAGTAAAGAAATCAACCATCGGGCCGTACTGCTGCACCTTCTCGTCGATTTTAGCAACTCTCTCGTCCACCCGACCTCCCGCTTCCGAAAGAGAGGGGGCCGGCCCCTTTTCTTTCTTCTTGCCGAAAACGCGTTTCATGGTCGACCTCCTTCCTCTGCTGCTTGGTCAGGTAATCGGGCGGTGTGTGTGTGCTTGACGTTTGATGTTTCGACTTTTCGGAGGGGATGAAGGAAAGCAATCCCCGGCTTTCCACAACATCCAGGGTCCGTTTCGTACCTTGGATGTAGCGACAACGTCCCGACGAACAATCCCTCCGCTCTCAACGTTCCATGCTTGTTCGAGCGCGTTCCCCCCCTTCGTGGTCGATGGCACGCGCCTGCCGCTAGTCTGGCCCTGTTTCTAACTGGGCGTTCCCCTCGGTTGCTGAAAGAAAGGGCAGCGTGCCCTCTGGGGAGAGAATCGACGGAGGCTGTGCACATAAGATTAAAATAGCAAAAATTTCTGAGAAAATCCAAGTCGAAAGAGCCGGGAGAAAGTCTCCGAGCGCGCACACGGCCGGCGGAGGCGATTTCACCACACTGGAGGGTAAACATTGGTCACCAGATCGTGGTCACCAGATCGACATGGTAGCACCTAGAAGAAGAGCCACCAACACCACACCGATTTGTGCTGTGGTCTGGTGGTTGGTCATCTGCGCGCATCTCCGGACAGGTGAGCACCGTTGTGCCGATGCCGTCGGCGCCGAGTCATCGTATGCCCGAGACAATCGCGAGGGAGTCACGGGAGTGGAGGAGAGAGTAAGATGGCGCTGGCTTACGTTCCCCTCCCAACCATAGGGCCTGCAACACAGCCACAAGAAGAAGACGGGCGAAGATGTACCAGGCAGAGACTCTCAACACTTTTGAATTTCAAATATTTGAAATCCTCGTCGGCTTTCTCGTCGACACAAGGAAGGTCCGTCGTTGAGATAAGCCGTGCAGCAAATCGAGGGCTATCCACAGTCTGGTATGCAGAGTTACAACGACTTCTGTGGGACACAAGATAAAACGTGGAGTGATTCAAGGACTGAATGATCTTGCATGAAATGGCTCGCGTGCGTGCCTCAAGTTGTGGGCATATGGTCTGCATGTGGCGAGACGAAGTGCCAACACAGCAGTGTGGCAAGAGGATTGATCTTACGTAACATGCCACCGCAGCTCGCAGCGGCAGTCTTCGACTGAGAAACAAGGTTATGATGTGTACATTTCGGGAAATGGTAGTGGTGTACAAGTCTCACGGTGCCCACACACTTCATGGCCAACAAAATTATTAGCCTCCGGCCACGGCCTTTTTCTCCGAGATCTGACCAGATCCCCCTCGCACAGGCAGTCTAGTCTACATGTACGTCTGCCTCCGCGGTGGGACACTCAATGTTTCCAGTCACGGGATAGGAAGGTTGTGCCTATTTGATCACGCCCTCCCCATGATGAGAGTGCATGAACTCTTTGCAGTCGACGTGAGTTTCTGCATGGAGGTGCCAGAGTATTCTACGTTTGACAATGACTTGGTTTCAACCCTAAGCCGCACAGCCTGCCAGGATAGTGGAGGGAGCCCAGGACTATTAAGAACCTTGAGAATTCTCGGGGGATGGTGTTTTGAATACGTATACATGCCGTGAAAGCGCTGTTCAGGATATATGTCATTTACGCCTGAATCTGAATCCATGCTCGGGTGGGTACCTGTGGAACATTTTTCCACGAATAGGAACAACGCGTTTTGTCCGCACACGGTGTTCCAAGATTGGCCAGAACTGGCACCCGGTGATCCGCTTCACTCTGTGGGTACAGCTTGACATATCGTTCGGCGTGTACCACTCCTGACACCATGATCCAGAGCTCACATGCCAGGTTCGGCCCGAAGTAGTTGTCTCTTAACCCCATCACCCCCTTGTCGCTTTTACTTCTTCGCTGTATCTCTGTATCACGTTTGTTTGCGTGTCTTCCCTGCGTACGCCTTCCCATGTCCCGTGCTCTCTACCTCTTCATTTCTCTCTCTGTTTGGTTCCCTTGTCTCTTCTTCTTCTCTCCTTTTCTGTCTGTCGTGGCGCTGTCGCTTTGTATTGCGCCGCGGGGCTTCTGTACTGTCGTTTGGCCGCCGCCACCAACAACAACAGTTCCAGTGTTGGCTCTTCAGTGCTTCTCCTGCACCGATTGTTCTGTGGGGGGCGCGCTCTCAGCGCAGAAGCAGCAGTGCCCACCGGGCGAGGCCTTCTGCGCGGCGGTAAGAAAATAGAAGGAACAGCAGTATCGGTGACACTATTACTACGGTAATACGGAGTATACTTGAACGGCTAGAAGTTATCATCCGATCGGTTGCTTTCTTGTTGGCGACCTAGGCAATCCCAGATCTGTTGTCCCGCGCACCTTGACAAGCGGGTCGTCATACGGCCGTTTCAACCATCCGCCGAGGAGCTAGCTGTTGCTACTGATATCTCGACAGAATGGAGTGACTACTGTGCATGGACCTGAGCGAGGAGTGGCGCCTATCACAACGTCCATTGGTGCCGGTCATTGTCTATGGATGTTCTCGGCACATGACTACGTACCCGTTGTTTCTCTTTTTTTTTATGGGAACTTTGACATCAACCGTAGCCAAACCTTGTTCGCCACTCGCCGTCACCTATCACGATGGCCCCACCGTTTTCGCCAACTGGACATGAAACGTCTGCAAACACGCGCACGAAATATGTGACCAGGTGTCTCGGCCGCGCACCAGCCCATTGGTCTATCAATCCTCCTCCGTCGACCGCGGCTGCGCGTCTTCGCTAAACGTGGCGTGCGAGCAGCTCAATCCCCCACAATCATCTTTAGCCAGAAAAGAGATAGCGGAAGAAGCAGGAGGGACAGCAACAACACCTGCCGTGGGCGATCACGGCCATAGAGAAAGCGACGGCCAAAATTTGCGTCCAGGCAGCAGCAGCAGAAGTGGTAGTAGTAGTGATGGTGGCAGCCGGAATGATGGCCACCACTTGCAGCCGCTGCTGTGTTGCTCGACGGACTTTTGCAACGGGCTGGAGGACGCACGGAGGGAGGGGCAGCGCCGGTCGGAAGAGCACCTGCGGAGTCTGATGGAGGGTACTCCTCGGAAGAAGGTTGGCTTTTCGCGGGGCTCGCTTGCTGATGGTGGCATTGTTACGGCTGGCGGCCGTGGTTCGGGAGTCGGAACGGCGGCAGCGGTGGGGGAGAGAATGGTGGATGGTGAAGACGACAACTCGGCGCGCGGGGGGTGTGAGGGAGGGTCGAGGTTTGCAACGGTGCTTGTGATTGTTGGAACCTTTTCGCAAGTATTGTGGCTGGTGGGTAGACTGATAGAGTAAAGTGTGGGTGAAAGAGGTCCTTCGAAATGTTGAAATGCTGTAAGGGTTGATGGACGTGCAGATTTTCCCATCGAAGCAGAAGAGAGACTTCGAGCTACAGAAAGGGCCTTTGACCACAAAATCAGCTCTGTCTGGCTCTGGAAATGTACCAGCTTGTTCCTACCCTCGGAGAAAAGGGAGCTAAAGCTTGCAGTTATGTAGTTGCGGCAGGGCCCAAGCACTGTTTTGGTTATCAAGCGGCAACAGTGGAACATTCTCAATGGTATCAGTGTGCATTCCAAGAACGTATCGCACGTAGTCTGCTAGACTTCTCTTCCTCAGTAATATGTGCCGCCTTTGCCATCTTTTTTGTCGGAGGAGAGCAGGACGGAGAATGAATACAAACGGGTAGCGATATATGTATGTGCCGGGCTGATGATGATGGAGGTGGCAGGAGTACCAGCGTAATTTACGTCTCCCTCTGGTCTATGATCTGTATCGCTAACTCGCCCCCCTTCTGATTACCCCCGATGTTATGATGTTGTTTTCTGTCTGCTGTAGTACCATATGTTGTTGTATGTGTTTGGATCTGTTTGTTTATGTTGTTCCGGTGGAGGAGCGATCCTACAACCACCCACAATAATTGTTTTTGGATGGGCGTGTGAAGAATGGCTCCGCCAGTGCAACCACCGGCGGCGAGTACACTCTAGCCCGCTCTCTCCCATTTTTGTTTGTTTGGATGGGGCCTTCCTGATCCTGGTTTCTATTATTTTCAAGCCGAGTTTGCTCGTCTCCCGGTTAGTTTTGGGTGATGTTCTGCTATTGTGTTTGAAGGATTTTTTCTGGGTCCATTACTTCGTCCGTTCCTCATTTATTTTTAGAAAGGTGTAACCCCATTTTGGGTAGGTCTGTGGCCACCAGGCCGTCCGCGTCAATTGGACCAGTACGGATGTTATGAGGTGCTCAGCGGAGACTGGGACGGATTTTTTGTGAAGGTAACATCAACAACAGCAACAACACCAAATAGATCTGATATCAGTGAGATGTGTGATAGTATGTCACTGCTGTTCTTCCGAGGATGTTACTCTTCTTCTGATCCTCAAAGCTTGCTGCGAGTGAATGATGGGTCTTAGAGGCTGGAAATGAGTCCACGAAGGTTCGCCCACAACTCTCCACACCACCCTAGATTGGCTGAGTTTACTCGGTCCCGATTTGGCTTTCCTCGCCACATTCGACTAAAATGGAAATAGCCAGCCTCCGGTGGCAGGTCATAGCCGCCCATTCTCTCAGACCCTCCCGTCGCCCAGAGTGAGGGCTACTCCATATTGGCGTTCGACGAAGAGGTAGATGTGCTTTCCCCCCCAAGTGACCAACATGGGAACAAAAACAAGAAGCCCACAGGAGACATCGTCGTCGCCGCCTCTCCTGCTATTGCCGCGGCCACCGCAAACCCGCCTAAACTGCTGCGCCCCCCAAGTCGGGACAAAATGAAGGGGCGAGGTCAAAATAACGCCGTCGAGTGAGAATCTCCTCCAGAACGCTAACGCCGGTGGTGCGGTGCGGCACAGGCCCCCGCCCTCAACAGCAGCAGCACCAACAACAGCACCAACACGTACGTATCACTTGTGCTGGCAGGTGACGGTGACGACGACGGCGACAATCACAACGACCGCGACGACAATGACACCGGTCTTGTGCAGGATATGTCCTGCACCACCACGCCAAGGCCGCCCGTCCGCCGAGCACGTACTGGGGCATAGGAAGTGGGTTGAAAAGGCGGGAAGTGATATCGATATAGAGTAGATCGGCTAGCTAGGGAGAACATGGTTTGGCCTCGTTTGACAAAGTACTTCGAAGTGGGAAGGAACGATTGGCATCAGTGATCCTATTGGAACATGGATGCGTCCTCTCGAAGACGTTGGTCAATTGTCCTACCGCTAAGGCATGCGAACATGAGAGAGAGAGTACGCTCTCCCCCTCCGCGCGTACAAGAATTCATCACGAGGTCCTCTCTCTCTCCCCCCCCCCGCCTCGAATCAGAAACTAACTGCTGTTGTTTGGGTCACCCCCAGCCTCCTGAGTTCTTATCTTGCAGCCGCCGCGTTTTGGGGCTCCGTTCTTATCTCTATGCGCATTGGTACACCGGGCGGGTAATTGTTCATAATACAACGTCGGAACTGAGCATATGTTCTTATGGCCAAGTTCTTAGATTTTGGATTGTTTGAGGCTCTGCTAAGGTGGCGCGTTCTGTACACAGTAGTAAGTAGTTTCCGATGTGGACATCATAAAGGAAGGGTATATACAATCTCCCAACCAATGGCGAGTACGAGTGAGTCCCTCGTATCACACCGAAACAAACGCAAACAAGTGCGCAACCGACCACTGCTCAGAGCGCACGTCCACACCGACAACCACTTCAACCCGAAACAAACCGGTAAACCAGCAAACGGTAAACCAGGACACGATTGGGACGGTTCGACCTTCAAACAAATTACGGAGTAGAGGGTCCACCAGAGTTGCTGTAGTGAACACAAAACAATACAACAACCCGCGCATGCCCGCCCGACAACACCGTGATGGCTGTAGACTATAGGCTACCATAATAGCGTATGCAATCAAATGAAAAGGGACAGGAACAGGTAACCGACTGTTGGCTGGCTGCTTTCACTCTTCCCACACCAACGCGTACCGAATCGACAGAATCCGTAATCCATACAATATTTTATTATTCCTTAAATATTCCATCCAGAAGATAACAAGAGGGAACCACAAAAAAAGGTTCTCCTTTTGCTCCGCATTTTCGCATTTTGCCGTTTTCCCCGCACGGTGCTCTCCCCCGTACGCAGACACTGCTGCCGTGACCGATCCCTCGCCAAGCTGGAGCATATTGAAGCTCTGCTGCACTGAGGTACAGAAAATTGGCACAAACTCCCACGCCAACCGATCACGGCACCGTACTTCAAGCACTCAGCGGTCAGCCGGCACGCACTTTTCGCGCCAACCACACCTCAACGCACCGAGCACCGAGCTGCTGCAAGATGGCATCGGGCCCTCGGCGGCACACCCCATCTTCGGACTCGGACAGGCTTTGGCCGGTGGACAAACAGCCCAATGCCGCTTCCAGAGGCGGTGATGATTCATCACCTCGCGATGTTGCCTCGATGAAGGCGGAAATCGCCGAGCTGCAGGCGGGGACCACAGCTTCGTTGGACCGAGCAATAGCGGCGGCTGAAGCAACCGCGAGCGTGGGAGCACGGACGCAAGTAACCCTCAAGGAACAGCGGGAGCAGATGGGCGAGATCGACGCCGAAGCGAGAGCCATAGACGGCACCTTAAAGCGAACAGGGCACAACCTCAAGTACGGCCTCACGTGGCGCGGGGCCCTTACAGCGCCGTTTCGCCGAAAGAAGCCCCCGGCACAGCAGGCAGGCGGCGGCGGAATCACCGGCGGGGACATTTCCCCGGTGTTCAAGGACGACTTCAGACAATCGACACCACCAGGAGGAGCTCCTGCCCACGGTGGCAGCACTTCTTCCACCCCTAGCCCTAAGAAAGGAGGGCGCTTGAAATTCGGCTCCCCGCGGAAAAAGGCAGGCGCGGCACGCGCGGAAGAAATAGGAACCAAGGCGGCGTCGAAGCTTCCCGAGAACGTTCCCGAAGGATTCGAGACCCAGCTGGACACGCTCGATAGCTTGTTGGACGGCCTGACTGTACAGGCCAAGGAAATCGGTGCGGAGCTGAAGCAACAGAACGAGGGGATTGAGGTGCTGGGGGAGCGTGTGGAGCCGCTTCGGCAGGAAACGGCGTTCCAGGCGAAACAGATCAAGCGACGGTTTGGGGTAAAATAGAAACAGGGTGATGAGATTGACCTTTGTTATTACTGAGTTGGTTGTTTGTGTGCACCATGCAACGGTAGCGGTTTGCTACATAGATAGAATGAGAACGTTTGCAGACTGCACGAAAGAGGGAAGTTGGTTGGAGTACAGAGTAAGCCGTGTCACGATAGATCCATATGCAGACATCGATTAATTGTAAAGCACGTGTGTGCATGTATTGGAGAAGATACCCATTCTCCGACCTAGGTCGATTGTTTTTGGTTGTTTCGTGTCGAGCTCTCACGCGCACAGCTATGCGCTGCCGTGTCGTGGTCGCACAGCGGTACCCCGCTTGGCAAACGAAGTCCTTGGACTGCTGCTGTTCCCCTCAAAGCGCGGTTGTGTGCTGGTAGCCGATTCAATTCGCGAAACAATCGAAAACTCCTTTTTTTTTGTATTATCTCAAGTGTGTGCAACCAGTTGCTTGTCTCGAGATAGTGGAAAAGATCGATCGTTCTAGTTTGGTCCGTGTACAACAATTTACCATGATGAATGCGCCTCCGCACGTTGGGCCAATGCCCGCTACCTCGTCCGGCTGCGGCTGGTTGCCAGCATCTCTCAGACCAACATCTCTCTCGAATGGCGATCTGCTACGCCGTTGTTGGAGGACAGATGATTCAAATTCCTGAAAAGAGACCCTTCGGGTTTCCTTCGTCGCGTACAGCAGATGAACGTCATAGTGGGGTTCATTTACCGAACACCAGTTTTTTAGGGTCGAAACTCTGACACCGATGGAATAATGTGTGACATCCCGGCTGGTCCAAGTTGTAAAGTATGGTTCAGTAACCTCTTCGTCACCAAAACGTTTGCCGCCGCTCGCTCGAAAGGGACGGCTCCTTTGCAAGATACCCGAGCCTGCCGGCTGTTCCCCCCACGCCAGCTTCTCGCGCTGAGTAGCACACATACACAAACCGCGACCGGCCAGCTGTGCTCCCGGCAAAATCTTCCCTACCGCTGTGGCTTCTTCACTCTTTGCAAGATTATAAGCTAGCCCCGGCGGCCTTCCTTTTGGCGATCTGCTCGTTCTTGTAATCGTCGAACTCGCCCGGGTACTTGGCCACCTCGCCGCTCCCCACGACCCACAGCTCGGAGCAGACCTTGTTGATGAAGTGCTGGTCGTGCGACACGATCATTACCCCTCCCTTGAACGCCTGCGGTATCGGGGGGAAAGCATGGCGGGCTCTGTAAATTATTGGGAACACCACAGCAGCCCCAAGAGTCTACTTTCACATTCTAATTAAATCTGTTTAGGAGTTTTTGCAGTTCACATGGAGAGAAATAAAAATTCAAAGAGCAATACAATCGTCGTCACCGCCACATGTTGACCACTCGTACCGCTGAACGACAGCATTTGACTGCAGTCACACGCATGCACACCTGTAATGCCAGGATGAGCGCCTCGATCGTCTCCAGGTCGAGGTGGTTCGTAGGCTCATCCATGATCACCACGTGGGGCTTCGACCACGCCAGCTTCGCGAACGCAACGCGGGACTTTTGCCCCCCCGAGAGGAACTTGAGGGGCCGCAACGCCAGAGGCCCCGAGATGTCGAAGCGCCCCAAGAACTTTCGCATTTCCTGGAACAGTGTGCACGATGCGCGACACCGAGCGCAAGATACAGAAAGATAAATGTCACATCTGGAACGGAAACGGGGAAATGAGAGCTGTTTCTGAAGGAGCTCCAGATTGGTTTGGGGTCCTGCGGAGACAAGTTGACATGGTAACACACCCAACCACCACGCTGAACTACGTACCGTGCCTCTTCGCGTGCGTCTTCGAGTACGTGTAACTGCACCACGGGAGCGACCAAAGCTTCGTCTCTTCCTTGCGCTACCTCTACCTCCCCCCTTCCTCCCGTCCACCCGTTCGTGGCCCCACGCTTCCGTACCACGTACGTGTCAGCCATGCAATAAATAAACACATCACTAAGTAGCCTCCCACAATCAAACCCAAGGGGGATCAGCACCGCGGCAGCAGCTGAAATTATTCCCCTTACCCCGCCTCCCTCCACCGCCTCTCCATCGACAGACGCCAACACCCCAAACAACCCACCTGCTCCTGAACACCCGGAAACAGCTTGATCATGTTGTCCACGCTGTTGAGCCGGTAGTCGAACTGCTCCGCGGCGTGCTGGGTGAAGTGGGCTATCCTCAGGTTGGGGTTCCGCCGCACCTCCCCCGACAGGGGCCTCAACTTGTCCAAGATGAGGTTGAGGAGGGTGGACTTACCCGCTCCGTTAGGCCCCACGATCCCGACGCGAGAGTCGAGGTCCACTCCGAAGTGGACGTTGGAGAAGAGGGGGTTGCCCGCGTCGTACCCGAACGTTACGCCCTCGATCTTCCGTTTCGATAGTATTTTTGTTTCGGAATCAAGGGCACGCGCGAGAGAGGTTGGGGGGGGGAGGCGGAGGTGAGGCGAAAAATCAGGGAAACAGGCAAGGAAGATTGGTTCTATGTACGCTAAAAACCTGGGCATATGCAAAATAAAAAAAAAACATGAAAAGGTAAACACTACTAGGAGTACTATTCACGAAATAGAGCGGACCTCACGCTGCTCTTCCGAAAAACGATCGGTGCAATCATACAATACCACCATGCCGTAGTGCCGAAATACTATCAACGATCCGCATTCACCTGCACGATCGGTCGCCCGATGGGTCCAGGCTCTGGCAAGTGTATCGTGACCTTCGCTTCGTCCTCAACATCCTCAACGTCCTCCATCTTTTCCAACGCCTGGAGGAGAGCAGACAATACGGAGGGGATGGGACGAGAGCGTGTGGATCCGAGCGTAGCCTGCCAACTATTTACTATGCTGTGCGGCCCACACACCAGCAACTGAACAAACAAAGAGACATGCGCACAGAGACCAGTTGATCCGCTCCCTGCCTTCTCGACCGCCTTTGCTCCCAGAGATCGTAATTTATGTCACCGAGCGCCTCGTGTCCATGCAGCTTGATGCTATTTCCACTCCACACCTTGCCTTCGCCGCCCATCCATAGACCACGCCTCTTTCATCCAACTTTGCCAGAACTGGTGACCCGTCGTGTAATACCGTACCACGGGCAATTGACGCGGCTCCGGAATAAGTGCGCTGGCCGAGCGTGTTGGAGCTTTGACCTCTTGAGACCCAGTCGGTGGCGTTCGTGTCCCCCCCAACCCGCCTAACCAACACCACGACAGGTACAGCAGTCCCAACCAAAGCCTTAAATCCGTGGCGTATGTAAAACAGCGTGCGGCCGCTTCTCCAAGAGACTGGCCCTTCCGATTAGCCGTTGAGGGCTCGGCACACCATGCCGCACACCTACCCTCACGGGGCTACCCATGAACACACCCTACAGATGCCCACACAAAACAAGTTACAAGACCTCATGCTACCATGTTGTGTGTGCACACCGTACCAGAGAACCAAGCCATCCCAATTTTTCGGGTACCGCAAACCGCACCTTGATGCGGCTCTGCACGAGGCTGGCCCGCTTGGCGTTGGAGCGGAACTTGTCGATGAACTCCTGCATGTGAGCCTTCTTCGCCGCCGAGGCCTCGTACGCCCGCCGCTGGTTCTTGGCCAGCTCGGTCCTGACGTTCACGAAGGTGTCGTAGTCGCCCTTGTAGTAGTGCAACTTCTTCGACAGGAAGTGGATGATGTCGGTCGACACCTGGGCGCGCGTGTGTACATGGATGGGTGGAAGGGTGTTGAAGAGACGAGTGGGGCGTGGTGAGGCGCGGCCATGTGTCAGGGGAAGGGGTGACCACGAAGAAAATACTCCGAGCAAGCAAGCGGAGCAATGGAAGCAGGGGGGCGAAGTACAGACAGTGGAGATTGTTTGTTGTGGGTGCTACCTCCCTCGTCATAAAACTAATAACCCTCACCCTACCCTAAGTCATTTCGCTCGTCATTCTCGACAACAACGACCAAAACTAAAGGCAACCGCAGCAACCGCAACTCCAGTTTCGATCACGTGTCCACGTTAAGGAGCCACATCCTAGTCAAAGCAATGACGGGAGCGGTAGAAAAAGCATGCGAATGCCAGCACCAGCAGCTGTACACATCGCTCGCAAAACTCAGCAGGTTACGAAGCAAAAAAATATCGCTGCAAATACGGGCCAGTCGCTATTCAAGCGACGACGATAACGCACCTCATTCAAGAACTGTCGGTCGTGCGAAACCAGGAGCAGCGTCTTCGGGTAAGTCTGTTGAAAACACAGAACAAAGGTCAACGGGAAAGCAGGGTGATCGACCAGAAGAGGGGGTGGAGAAGGCGGTGAAGGAGTGAGAGGAACAGGAGGAGGCTTCGTCGGAAAGGAGGCCGTGTCAAATCGAAAGAAAATACCGAAGATAAGATACTTGCCACGAAAACACAACAAAACAAAAACTACTTACGGAAACCCTTGCATGCGGGTACCACATCTTGTCACATTTCTCGGCAGTTCTGTCCAACGTGCAGTAGTGTAGGAAGGAAGGAAGGTCAACGGCCGGCTGTGCAAGCTCCCCCCCCCCCCCCATATCTTCCTCCCCCCGGTGCCTTCTTCCTCTCCCCTTGAGGGATTTTTGCCA